AGCTCGCGATGCTGTGACGTCTAAAGTACATTGCACGAAAGAATAGTTGGTCAAGGTTAAGCAAGCAAGGACCACTGAATGTGAGATGAACATGCAACAGATACGCAAAGAGATGGCCTCCAGCTTCAGATTTGGTTGGGTGCAAAGCCAACAATGTTTGGAACATCAATTTGTAGCTGATCCTGACGTGTATGATCATCATATGGGGATTGAGCTTGGTGGATATGAACGATACGAAGGGATGGATCCTAAGGAACGGAAACCCTTAGATGAACTTGTTTATTCTTATCTTATCCCAAACAATAGGGTTTGTTATTAATTCTGGACCCGTTTTGGATTTAAGCTTTGAAAGCTTTCAGTCCAACTTTTGTTTTGGTGCTCAATAGCTCATGCAATCACGTGATCTGTTCTCATGGGCTAAAACCCCATTTGTGTTTGTATTTATGTCATTGCACTTTTACTTATTATATATGCTTGTATCTTAGCATAATTTTCATTCGCAAGTTGGGTATTCGCCTTCCCATTGCCCAACCCTTCCTAGCTGTTCCTTTCGATTTTCATTTTTAATTAAATGAGAGCAATATCCTTTATCTTTAAATTTGAGTTTTCGAACGAGAGATTAACTTATCCTAATAAGATACGATCATCTTAGATTTTGAATTATTGTTTCTAGCAACCTCAAAATGTCTCTATATAAAGAGGTATTTGAGAGCAAGTAGGTAAAGTAGGTAATACCTGGGTCTTATGGTTAACAATCGAAGAGTGAAACTCAACTTCCAGCTCTGTGCTGATGTCCCCAAAAAAGGAAGCTCTCGGAGGGGTTCCAAGGGTTCTAGGAATGTTATCGAGCTATGTTCTAGTTCCTCTTCTCGTTCGCTAAAGAGGGATTCTCACTCTTTTGAGATTCCTAACACTTATTGTGAATCCACGTATCAGTCTCGAACAAGGTTGGATGGAAAACGGGCTCTAGATTTTGCCCTTAGTGATTTGACTAGTCCATGTTATTGGACGAGCATGAAACTCTGAAAGGATACTTGCAGCGCTCTGAACACCAGGTGGATCGTCTAAGAGAGGAATTGATGGCTGCTGATTGTGTCGTGTCCGCTGCTCACTCAGATGGCATACATGAGGGTTTTAAACAAGACATTCA